AAACTATAAGTAGGCCTGTCCCTTACTGGGCTCTCAAGTCTTAATGACTGAGTTCGACTATAAACTATTGTATAGAATTACTACAGGTCCTACCTTACTTAACACTAACGTCGGGATTTCCCAGTTCTGAACTTCATGAGATCCAGAGCTCAACTACTACATGTCTTGGGCGATGGGTCTTAAGATCCCAACCCAGCTATTTTTAGATAGCCAATCGGCTCCCAGCATTGGGGAGTGGCCTAATCTATTTATAATAGGGGGTGGACTGCACCATTTTGTTACAGTATATATAAATATTCATACAAGACACACTACACATCACACACACCAAAACAAAGGCGATGCCGTGTGTGAGTGAGACCGATCGAAGATAAGTTTGGAAAAACAGAAACATCGGTTTCATAAACATTTAGGGCAGGCCAAAATATTAATATATAAGAACTTTTGCTAGCCTAGGTAGAGGTAAAGCCCTAGGGCCTAGTCAGTTCTTCATCTAGCCTACCTATTGTACTCTAGCTACAGTAGTCCTAGCCTAGGGCGGTCCTACGTGACTGGTGCTGGTGGGCTGCTTAGGTCTATGTGGCTAGGTGCTGCAAGGCCTGCGGCTGTCTTATCCAGTTTTGGCATGTCACCCTTAGTTTTGTACAGTTTATTAGCTAATTCTGGCACTAATTTAATAAAATATATTAATAATAATTGATTATATTAGCTAATTCTGGCACTAATTTAATAAAATAAATTAATATTAATTGATTATACTTGGGTACTTTAGTAAGTTGGGCACCAGTTAAATGTATTTAGCAGTAATCAATGAATATTGGCACTAATGTACTAAAATAAATTAATAATAATTAGCTTGGGCACTGCTTTTTAGTAACTTGGGCACCCAGTTAAGTGTGTTTTGTAATAATCAATTAATTTTAGCTAATTCTGTCACTATTTGCTAAAATAAATTGATAATAATTGATTATAGATAACTTGGGCACTACTTTAGTAAGTTGGGCACCAGATAAGTGTGTTTAGTAGTAATAAATTAATATTAGCTAACTCTGGCACTAATTTACTAATATTAATAATAATTGATTATAGATAACTTGGGCACTACTTTAGTAAGTTGGGCACCAGATAAGTGTGTTTAGTAGTAATAAATTAATATTAGCTAACTCTGGCACTAATTTACTAATATTGATAATAATTGATTATAGATAATTTGGGCACTACTTTAGTAAGTTGGGCACCAATTAAGTGTGTTTAGTAGTAATCAATTAATTATTACTCTGGCCCTAATTTACTATAATGAATTGATAATAATTGATTATAGATAACTTGGGCACTATATACTTTAGTAAAGTTGTTGGGCACCCATATAGTGTGTTTGCAGTAATCAATGAATATTGGCTAACTCTGGCACTAATTTACTAAAATAAATTAATAATAACTGATTACAGATAACTAGGGCACTACTTAAATAAGTTGGGCACAAGTTCAGTGTGTTTAGTAATAATCAATGAATATTGGCTAATTCTGGCACTAATTTGCTAAAATAAATTGATAATAATTGATTATAGAAAACGTGAGCACTACTTTAGTAAGTTGGGCACCAGTTAAGCATGTTTTGTAATAATCAATTAATGTTAGCTAATTCTGGCACTAATTTACTAAAATACATTGATAATAATTGATTATAGATAACGTGGGCACTACTTTAGTAAGTTGGGCACCAGTTAAGTGTGTTTAGTAGTAACCAATGTATATTGGCTAACTCTGGCACTAATTTACTAAAATAAATTAATAATAACTGATTACAGATAACTTGGGCACTACTTAAATAAGTTGGGCACCAGTTCAGTGTGTTTAGTAATAATCAATGAATATTGGCTAATTCTGGCACTAATTTGCTAAAATAAATTGATAATAATTGATTATAGATAACGTGGGCACTACTTTAGTAAGTTGGGCACCAGTTAAGTGTGTTTTGTAATAATCAATTAAAATGTTAGCTAATTCTGGCACTAATTTGCTAAAATAAATTGATAATAATTGATTATAGATAATGTGGGCTCTACTTTAGTAAGTTGGGCACCAGTTAAGTGTGTTCAGTAGTAATCAATTAATATTAGCTAACTCTGGCACTAATTTGCTAAAATAAATTGATAATAATTGGTTATAGATAACGTGGGCTCTACTTTAGTAAGTTGGGCACCAGTTAAGTGTGTTATAATATAATAATAAACATACATAATATAATACTAAACGTACATAATATAATAATAAACGTGTATAATATAATAACAAACATATATAATATAATAATAAACATAAATAATATAATAATAAACGTACATAATATACTAATAGGCATAAATAATATAATAATAAACATATATAATATAATAAATTTAAATAATATAATAATAAACGTAAATAATATAATTACAAACTTAAGTAATATAATAGCAAACATAAATAATATAATATTTTTTGTAGGCTTGAGACAGCTGGGGCTTGCCATAATAATAGTATCTCTGTTTTAATATTTGGACATTTTAAA